CGCCTTTCGCAATTTACAGGGATTGCGCGTCGAGTAATATATTTTAACAACGTAAACTTCACGTTTCGCTATTTTCGCGGTTCCTTCGTTAAAACCTGGCATCCGATAAATTCCGCCCTAGCAACATTTCCGCTGGTACCCGGCTCCCTTTTCAAATACACCGTAATCTATTCTGATACTACGCACGAACGTGCCTCTCGCCGGGGAGAATTAAATGTCTTTTTTAATTACTCGTCGTCACAGCCAGCCGCGCGGCTCGCAAACGTAGGAGCAAGGAAGTATACCGTATATAGGAATAAATACATATTCGCGCGGCGCTCGAGGGAGCTCGAGCGGAGTTTCGGAGATGCGACACAAATCTTCCGCGCGGACGGGGGACTATTCAATTCTCGCGTCTCGCGCTCGCGTCAGAGAGCGGCGACACTTTTATATTCGTTTGCGTTCGCCCGGGTTTCGTCGTAAAGGCGCGACGGGGCGCACGAATTTACGTTCCAGCGTAAAAAGTGAACAAGTAATATTTTCCGAGCCCCGGGCTGGCGCGGCGACACACGTATCAGGTGTCTGTAACGACGCTCGCGCGTGTGCGCGTTATTGTGTGCACTTGACAACGCGTGCCGATAGCGAAACGATCGGGGGCACGCGAGCGCGAATCTCTCCGTCTATCGTAGGTGAAGAATTTTTCGTACGAGGGACGAGAGTGCGAGAGAAAGGCCGTTTCGGCCCCCCCTCGTATCGACCGGCCATCACCGCTGAAAGTTTCGACTGCGTCGGGCTTTAGGGAACGACGACGTCCGGTCAAGCCCGGTCAAAGCGACAACGTCTCGACTGCACGCAAGCTCATGCTTGGTCGCCTGCGTATCTACAGGGTGGCTCGAATCTAAAGAATCATCCGTCAAATCACACTGAAAAAAGAGTGGTAACGGCTATCGCGTGTGTAAACCGAAATAGTTTCAGTCAAATATTCGGTTAATACAATTAAAAATAATTTTACTTAAAAAAAAAAACTAATACCGAGAGAGATAGAAGAGAGCTTTGAGTCTTGCTTGATGCAATCGGGCCTTAGACTATCAAATTCGTATAAGATTGCAAAGGAAAATTAAATGGGTTGACCTGCAACGAGCAACATGGAAAGTTCTTGAATCAATTAATGTGAATTATTTATTGCCATAACAAAACAGTATAATCAAATTCGATTTTATTCTTTTAGTCCATTTATGGTAATTATCTTTCATATATATATATATATAT